CTCTTCGCAATGCAAATTAATGGAGGTGCTGAAACAAATTGTATTTTGCATTCTTGCTCGGGCGAAATAGACATCCCAATCATTCTCTTCGCAAACGATGATCCAAATATACAAATTTTGATCGATAATGAGACGGGCAAAGGTAGAAAATATCGCGAAAGACGACTTACATCACTAGATGACGATAGAAAAAAGATTTTCTGGGTGAAAAAATAACAGACCTTTCTTTATTACCACCTTGCCGTATACGTGGTCTTTTGCTGCATGACTGGAATGAAGATTTACAATGTGAATTGGTTCCTGAAGCATATCCAAAGGATATGCGAGCTGTTGGCCAGCAACCAAGAAAATATTTATCTTGCTCATAGGAACTTTTGATTTTGAATCTTCTGATGAAGACTAATAAGAATAAACTAACAACTAAACATATCTCTGAGTTAATGTGTTTTTGATTTACATTTCCAGATCTCTTGAAAAGTACCATTATAATTTAATATTTTGAACGAAAACGCTATTGAGATACCACTTTAAGCTCAATTATGAACAAAATGAGTTCTGTCCACAAAATACATGTTGCCACCCGCCATCACCCGCATCGCCCCCCCCCCCCCAAGGCGGCCACTCACCCCGGCGTCACCCCCATACAATAGGAATCTTATAAACATATTTAGAGATGTTTCATCAAGCTCTTAGAAAATCTTCATTTAAATCAACGTGAATGCATTTCCTCGCCAATTTTATCCCCACCCCACCCCTCCACACGCACACACCTGCTACCCCCACCCCACCTCCCCATAAATCAAAACAGTTGTCCAGGGGCATCGTAAACACTTATTTTGAATGGGCAGTCCTAGAAATTTATGTTTTGTTAATATATAATGTCAACATAATGACATCACCCCCCCCCCCCCCATTGTAGACATTTGACCCCCTATATCTCGAAAACGCACCCCCAAACGCCTGATCACCAGCCAGATTCGAAATCTACGCAAAAAACTGGTCTAGAAAAACTTGGTCTCATAAATTCACAGCTCGGGTGGCGATTCCCCCCCTTCAGCCACCGGACTATTTATTCTGAGCCAAGTTATCACCGTTTGCAGTTTTGACAACATGTGTGCATTGGTTGTTTATTATCGTAACCACGGTACTGGTATATTCGAGACTTAGCCTCGCTTCTCCATTTCTAAATTAAATCATTAATTCATTTAGTGTTTGTATACACATTTGAACGATTTTTATCGTTAACTGCCTCACTAATTTCACCCGCATCCATAATAGTCTGGGGCTCAATGTGCAGTGGGGGTTGTCAATCAAATGAACACAACTAGTTTCATTAAGTATAACAATCGTTGTTAAACTAAATCGGGGGGATTTCAAGTGTTTTGGTTCTCTTTTTACGGTGCTAAGACCACCTAAAGATAAGTTTTAAATGTTCCTATTAGTAGAACAGGTTTTTTATATTTTAAGCTGACATTTTATTGCTTTAAATCTCCCTAATGCAAAATCGGAAAACTTTACCTTTCGACCTCCGGGCTTACAAAGAACAGAGGTGAATTTAGCAAGTCTATATTTTTATTGAAAAAGGGATTACTTTCGATCATTTTAAGCATGTTTTCATGATACAGGAATGGCTGCGCATTCACTTAGGGAGCAAATGACCCCATTTGACCTTTGACCCCGAATGTCTCGAAAACGCCCCAGCGGCCGGACTGGTTACAACTTGGCATCGTATTCTACGTAAAATTTTACTATATAACGGCTGGTTCTGGTTTTGTGCTCATTTGATGCCCCCACCCCACCCCAACACCCATACCCCCACCCCGAGCCTCTGGTCTGTAAACAAGAAATTATCGTCTGAAAGGATCATACACGCAATGTGCTGTTAAAGGGAGGCAATTCGGAAATAAATTGCGATTCAGATAGTGCCATTATCCAAGAATATGTACCTGTATGCCCCGCATTCTGGGGATAAGTGAAGGGGATGCAATATGACGCCTTGGGTTTCATAGGTTTGGAGTAGTTTTTGCACCCTCTCTAAACAGTCTATGAGTATGAATTGGGGAATGTAAATGAAATTAATATAATATATAGTGATAAACGGTACGTCAACAATTTACAACGGAATGGAGTAATAAATAATGATTACATTTTTTTTTTTACTATGCAATCATACATTTCTATTTCTGGCGATGCACTTAATACAATTTACAAAAATTCGTTAAAATTAATTTTGATTTTTGTTTTTATTAAAATTTCTTCTCGATCCCCCGCAAAATTAAAGGATACAATGTAATGGCCTCTTTTTAACCGAAAATTGACTATGATGGATTGTAACGAATTTATATCATAGTAGGTCTACATCATTTATAATTGGATTTTGGAAGCGAATAATCAGTTTTACTGTCTTTTGGTGCTATCATTGAATGACTTTTAGAAGTAGAGGTATATTAGTAATAATCCAACTTTATAATAAACCAAGCATGTGTCCTATATGAGTTTTGGTCTTAATTTCTTGTTGAATCATATTTTGGTTTTAAGTACCACAACAATCTCGTGACTAACAACATATTACAAATTATTATTTTTTTTTGTCAAAAAACATTTTTTGGTATGAACAAGAATCATTTTATTATAATCAATAGGCAAAATATAATAATTTATGACAAAATAAAAAAAAAAAATATCCCAAAATATATCATCCATTATATTTTTTTATTTTCAGATCAATTAACCGTCGTTTTGTCTTTTCGTTTTATTTTAGACCCAATCGCCAACTAGAACATATAATTTCTCATTAGCCTTGGTTTTATTATAAACCATGGCATTGATCCTTGGGGTGATAAAGTGTTTACGGTTATCTTCTTGGTCCTTTATTGCTACTCTGCAGAAAATTCCGCGAAGATAATATTTGCTCTTCCAGTGCCGCAACATCGGAATGACATGTTGACTTGTAAAGCGAGACTAAAGTTTTTCGGTGAATTATTGAAACCGGAAGCTCGATTCCTTGTTTTCCACTATCCAGACGTATATTGCCATGCCTATAATAGATTGAGACTGGAAAATCTAGGCTATAGTAATGGCGACTAAATGAAAAGATTTTAACACATCGTCTGCTAAAAGAGCAAATTCCTACAAATAACACTAAAACTAGGTATGTACATTTCATCAAAACACCAACCGTATAAAGACAGATAATTAGTTTATCAAATGATATACATGTTTGTTTAGTAAATTATTGGAAAGTAGATCATTAAACACAATCAATGCAAAATCCCACCATTTTTAGCCGTTGAGGCAGGCTAACAATGTGATGTCGTTTGATTATACATAATAATATAGTATATAGCTCGTCATTAGTACCTATACATCTCTGTCAGAAATAAGTGACTGACTTTGTGGATGTAGAAAAATCATCTGCTGCGCTCACATCTCCTGAGGCTGAGCCTTTGAGATAACTGATAAGACATATTTTGTGATACTGACAGATGTCAGAAACTGTATGCTTAAATTCAGAGGGAAATATTTGTAAATTGAATCAGTTTGTTTTGGTCCTACATGTAGGTTTGTAAATTATCTCTACTTGCTTGCTCACTACATGTCTAACACTATATTTACCGGTATTAAAATTCTAATAGATCAAATGATTTTAATGAGTAGAACATGTTAAAGTCTTGATGCCTCTGTAATTGCATTTTCATTAAAATATCATGTTTCTCACAGCTTAATACAAGCTTAATTATGTAGTCAAATTAATTATTTTTAAATAATTAATCTGACTACATAATTAAGCTGTAACATTTAATTAAGAAAACAAAATAAAAATACCAATGCTAGAAACCTCCTTTTTGCCGAAATTTGTTTGCACCAAGACACACTAGTTTAACAACTTTGCAAGCTTTTCACATGAAACCCAAATCTAAGGCCTTTAAAATCCTGGGGTTCTCGGTTTCAAAATCAGTTGCACATGTAAACACTCAACAAGCCAAGTGATGCCACATCTGAACGAAGACCAACGCAACAACGCTATCGGTTGGTTACAAGCAGGTGAATCCCAGACAGATGTAGCCAGGCTGCTGAATGTTTCCCAGAGCACCATTTCTCGCCTTTTGGATAGGTACCAGCAGTGAAATTCAACAAGTGACCGCCAAGGCTCAGGCCAAACAAGAGTGACCCCACCTGCCCTGGATCGTCACATCCGGTTACGTCATTTGCGGAAAGGGTTCAGAACAGCGACTTCTACTGCAGCAGCAATTCCTGGATGGCGTAGGATCTCAGACTAGACAGTCCATAGACACCTACGTGAAACCAGATTACGAACAGTTTGGTTCAGCGATGAGTCACGGTTCATGTTGCAACAAGTCGATGGTAGAGCGAGAGCATACCAACGACGAAATGTTACTGTGCGTCAGGCGCTCAAGAGCGCTCACTCGCAATAAAAAAAAATGACTGATCATATTTGCTATGCCATAATTAGCTGGGATTTCCTACGAATTGCAGTATGTGAAGTCAGCTTAATATTACTGAGACCTGCTTTATACTATATAGTGAACTACTTTTTAATAAGACCAGAGATTATAATAAAAAGTAGAGACCTACGCCCTATGCAAGGTATTATATGTTGGTTTGGTGTAAATTACATTAATTTAGGTTCACATGGTGCTTTAATCTTGCCAATAATTTTAGTAAAATCATTGTAGCACTCTGACCACTCCCCACCCCATCTTCTAACAAACCACTATATACAGTATACACATTGACTAGATTATATAGTATATCATAGTACTAGGCCTTATTATATAATCAGTGCCAAAGGTTAATCAGTAATATCTATTTATATTTCAACATGTAACTATGAGTTAATTACATTGATCAGTGGTTTGTCTTATGTCATATTCAGCTGGTATTACTGTCACATGATTAACCTATTCACTCTCATCATACATACATGCAATATGTGAATGTTGAAGATCATATTATAGGAAATCAGAATATTCTGTTTACAAAATCATCATTTGTGGATAGCTTTACAACTCTGTGTGTGCTTCATGATTATAAGTGTAGTACTAGTCAAGGTTTATTGAAAAGATTACCAGTCTTGTTTTTCTGACAGGTAAGAAAATAAAATATCAAACTTCTCCACATTATCATTGTTATACATGTACATTGCACATAACATCTTACACTGCTATACATAAGAATTTGTGCTTTTGGAGCACTATGTCTTAATGGTGAATGTATGTCTTTGTAACTAGTTACTTTGGAGATGTTTATTATTTATGAGTGTAGTCCTACAGAGAAAGTATGATCAAAAACTGGCTCAACAAGGAATATGCATATCCCATCCTAGTTATAGATATTTCTTTATACTATTGCCCTCCAGTGATCTCAGTATGAATGTTGCTTCGGGTTGTGGTTATTCAAGTTTCAGGCAAATTTATGTATTTTTATGACTTCTTATATCCCAAATTTGGTATGTAAATGTACAATGTATGTTGATTGAGTGATGCTTGTTCAAAGAGAGAGAGAGAGAGAGAAATGGGGTTTAACGTCCACTCGTCACAAACTAGGTCATTTTGGGACTAACATGGTTTTAATTTTTATTACAATAATTCGGTTGCGCGTAGGGGTCTTTAGCAGTGGGAGGACCTAGAGAAAACCCACAAGGTTGGACAGGCGACCCTACTCCTTGTCGCGTACAACCAGGGATTCAAAACCACGCCAGTTGACTCAATGACAGACCTTATGATACAGCTCATACTTGTTCAATTCAAATAGAGATACCTTATTGGTACTGATGAACAAGCTGTATTTCGTTTTGCAGTGTTCGTTCTTCCCACATTGTTGATAAATTGTGATTATGCTGTGGAGATATTTCTTTTTATAAAATTAGCTTAAGTATCTGATAATTTGAGCCTGGCTGTCAGTAGGTTCATGTATGCAGGAGAAAAAAATGCAGTGTTAATAAAATGGATGACAGAATGCAGTTATTTTGATTATTCTGTGGATTATGTGTATGTGATGAGAGAGATTAGTTTACATGACAGCATAACTGATTGTACTTTTAGAGAATTTACAGCAGTTTTGACAAAGTGTTGATTTTCATCAATAGTCATTTATCACCTCAACCCCTTCAATTAACAGACTTGTCTATTTCACTTCTATAGCAGGTGTAGGTGTAATTAATAATATGGTGCTTCTGGTTCTCTCAACATACATGTATTGATTATCTAATTGGAGCTCCAGTTTTATGATTGTAATTAATTACATCTTTCTTCATTGATGATCTATCATTTTCATACTTGTTGTTATCATATTGTGAAACAGGCATGGTACTCGACTAAGCCACAATACTGTATAGCAGTGATTATCTGTTGATGATCAGCTCATATTGGTTATAGGACGAACTTCTAGATATTGCTTGTTAGTTCATTCAAGTAAGCTATTTTTGATCAATAGTTTATACAGAGAGGGTTAATAGGGTCACCAGATTTCAGCAGTTGTACGATTGTTTTTAATAGGCTTGGTGGATGGAGTACTGAAGGGGTGTTCATACTTTTGGCAACCATCAGACACTATTTGCTTGAAAACTGTCGATAAAAAAAAGCTTTAAAAAGTAAGCTTCACTTAGTTATGTTACTTTAAATAGAATTCTATCACAGATTAGATATAGATTGTTTCATGGATTAGATAGGATTCTATCACAAATTAGATAGATTCTTTCACAGATTAGATATGATTCTTGCACAGATGAAGCAAACAAGAATTGTAAGAAGTTTTGGTGATTCATCTGAACCATTGCAAAACTGTCAAAAGATTTCTATGAAGGTGGGATTGGGCAGGGGGAATGGACTAAAGTCTCTCAAAGGGGTTGTTTTAAACATTTAAAGTACTGATATCTCTTTCTGAAAACAGTATTACTTAAGTTAATAACTGCCTGGGTGCTTTCAAAAATCTCTCTGCGCTGGAGCATTGCTTATTTGCTTATTACAAATGTTGTTGTTTGTATTTTTCAGTCTTCCACTAGCCAATGTTTTTGAGTGGTTGTGTTCTTCTACTCAGCTGTATGAACATATTACACGCTGTCACTGCCCAACAGCAGGTGTCACCAAAAATACAGAAATTAAAGCAGTCATGTAAAGACGGGAAAGAATGTCCCCAGGTTTTTGATAAAGACGATTTAAAAAAGCGATTGACTCCTCTCCAATATAGAGTAACACAGGAGAGGGGCACAGAAAGGTTAGTGTATTGTTATATACCAATCTAATTGTCATGTACATACTGTTATTCTGTCGTGATTCTACGTCTGTTGAGACATAAGCATTATATATATATACCTGGATAAGAAGATACATGTATCTACATAATCAAAGCATTCAAAACTTTTGGGGAATTTTCTGTAGGAAGGGTTTTGATTGGTTCATAGATCTAGAGTCGGTCAATCAAATTGCATGCAATTGGGTGAGCCAATTACAGACATGTTTTTACACTGAGATATAAAACGGAACAAAATCTGTGTAAATTTTAATTAGACTGACGAACGTAATGGGCATTGGGTGTCTATGGGAGGGTGATTAAGGCATTTATAGAACCTATGAGATCAGAAGATGTTGTGTCTTAAAAGTTACAATAAACATAATAATTTAGTACACTGCAGAGGGTGGAAAGTGCACCTCTTCACCTCTCTCTCTGGAACTGCCCTTGATGTACAGTAACAACAGGAATCATTTTGGACATGAACCTCAACATAATTCTACGAAAATAGAAAAGTAACAAATATTTATTACATGTAGTTAATTTATATGAACTCTTGTAATGGGATGTGGTATTAGGTGTTCTTAAGAGCAATGGCATATACAAGAAATCGGAAAAGGGTGAGTCAAAAACCCTGCAATTAGTGCAATGTGCACAACATGTTAATCACCCCTTTGAAAAAAGGGGTGAGAACTTCAAAATGTGCTATTCATCCTGAACGTTATTTTATAATATCTATTTCAGTGCCTTCTCTGGAGAATATATAAACAAAAAAGATGAGGGTGTATATAATTGTGTTGTGTGTGGAACTCCACTATTTTCATCAGATACCAAATACAACTCCAAATCAGGTTGGCCGTCCTTTAATGATGTCTTGAGTAAAGAGCAAATAGCCTTAAAAACAGATGTCTCGCATAGTAAGTAAAAGTTTTAATTTTCTGTTGATGTATACTATAATGAAATTTGTAGGAAAACATTTATTTACAAGTCCTTCATTCATGTTAACCCTTAGATACATGTACCAGTCTCAAATATAACAATTGACATCAAATTACCGAAGCTTCTTGTATTTACTTCAGTTTATTTCAGTTTTTAAAGCATATATTGCTTATTTAATAGCTTTCATTAACACTCAAATGTTCAATACCAGGTACGATTTTATTTACTGCTAAACTTTAAATAGCAAGCATTTCAACACTTGATTGACTTTGTATCATATTCCACATGGTCACTGTTTACTATTAGCCATCTATTAGTGATGATAAAAATGCATCAGTAATTGGCTAATTGGTACCTAATGAGTTCACTAAAGTAGAGAGGAAACTACATGTACATGTAGGTGTTCAAAGAAAAGGCGATTATGAGACTTTTAGATTTACCTGTAGGTATTAGTTTGCCGTCTTCATTAGCCCAGTTCGGAGCAGAACAGTATGACGTTAAACGGTTAAACCCCATTTCATTTCATTTGGTTTAAGTTTGAACTGCGATCTTCTTAGAAAAGATACCATAAAGCATTTGTATAACATTGTAAATCTTATTCCCTCATTAAAATTCTAATTTTATCTCCGACAGTGTAATGAACAACTTTGTTGCTTTGTCAATGGGGCTCCGATTTGTTGATATTTGTAGCTAGATTTTGATATTAATCAGGAAGTAATGATCTGTATTGAAAGGAAAGTGAATGTTCCTAGTGAAGAAGTCATTTATATAAAGATATCATAATTATTGTTTTGAAAATGTAAATCTCTTTGATCCAAGTCAAAATTAAGGATTGAATTAGGTTGTTCTGAATACTAGTGTGTTTTGAAATATTCAGTTCAAGTCAGGTTGTTTACTAATTATAGTTCTGTTTCGGGCTTGATCTTTTTTACTTCGAAACATAAAATCAGCTTTATGTCAACATGGGTCTAAAATTTAAATGTAGGCAGAAGCCCAGAAAAACAAATAAACATTTTTTTCTTACCTAACTCAAAGAGGCTTAAAGATACATTATGGGAGATTCAATAACGAGTTGGCTGTTCTCACTATAATAGTTAAAAACTAGATAATGTAAATGCAATTTGCTGAAAATTTCATAAAAATTGATCCACTATGAACTGAGAAGAAAGCGATTGAAATTTCCGCCTAGCCTCGATCATCATTACTAAAGTCAGTAAAATAAACAGCATAGTCTTGATTATCCATTTAATCGTTAAATCGTGAAGGAAATTTATTCAGTAAATCGGCTCATAATCCACTAAAGATCGCAGGCTAGTGATGCCATCGAGAGTTGATTATGGTCTGGATAAGTTAATTAATATCTAATTATTAATTTAGATAACATTTCAGGCCTAAAGAAAGACCTGTAATAGACAGATTTAGCTCTTGCATAATGTATGTTTAATCATTTTAATTTTAAATAGGAAATGATATAGGCAGATCATCAGGCGTATGTCTTCTCTTGTCTAGATGCAAATTTAGGTTCTGATTTGATTTTTTTATTTTCATCAGACATGAAGCGTATAGAAGTTACATGTTCTCAATGTGGAGCTCATCTTGGTCATTTATTTGATGATGGTCCTCAACCTACTGGACAAAGATACTGTATTAATTCAGCTGCTCTTCACTTTCAACCTGAACAAAAATCAAACTCTAATATCAATAAAGAGAACAAATCAGAACTGTAAAACAACTGTTTTTGAACATACAATAAAAGATTAACTGTTGTCATTGTTGTTTGTGTTTGTTAGACCGATATGTATTAATGTTAGGTTTATTTATGATTACAAATGAAAGTAGATTAAATTCTCCGTACCAGCAGGTAGCCACCTCTGTTTATTTCAATTATGTATGTCCAATATTTCATTCAACCAGAAGTTTAGATTTATGCAAATTACTCCCACAAATATCAGGGTTTTTATATTGAAATATAAAAGAGTTAAACTTAGCTGGTATGCTCATGATTGCAAAAATCACTTTTGAGAAAATATTGCTGTAAAAACATAAAACATGTCAAATGAGCTGTGCTTAACCAGACAAGCTTTTACACCCCTAAAGCTTAACCAATCTGTCTACACAGGTTATCTTCCATTGCAACCACAGGGTATGTGTGTCAAGATTGCACTTAGATCCCTTGGAACCACATTTAGTTCCTCACTTAGAAAAACACTATAGTTAGTTCTTGCGGGCAGTGATTATCATTCACAATAAAGAAGAATCTCTCAGAATTGGTCAATTAATCTAAATGCTGAACCCAAGAAATAGCCCATTTGAGTGACAAACCTAGAAAATATCCTTCGCACTTATAAGGCCAGGAAAACTTCTTTTCTTACTTATAAGCCGAAGTTAGTTAACCGTTCTTACTGAAAATCCCAGTAACACAGCTGTTAAGTCATGTAAACACACTTCTGACTGATAAGCTCAGTAAAACACGCCTCTGACTGATAAGCCCAGTAAAACACCCCTCTGACAGATAAGCCTAATAAAACACCTTTCTAACTGGTAAGCCCTGTAAAACACTCTTCTGACTGATAAGCCCAGTGAAACACCCTTCTGATAAACCTAGTAAACACTCTTCTTACTGATAACCCTAGTAAGACACCCACACTTTTGAGTGATAATCACTGTAGTGTAAAACACCCTTCTTATTGAAAAGCCTGTAAACACCCTTCTGAAAGATAAACTATTCTTACTGATAAGGCCAGAAAACATCCTTCTGAACAATAATCAAGTAAAATGCGCTTCTGACAGATAAGCCAGTAAAACAACCATCTGACTGATAAACCCAGTAAAACACCCGCCTGACTTATAAGCCCAGTAAATAGCTTTCTGACTCTAAGCCGAGTAACACACTCTTCTTACTAATAAGCCTAGTAAACACTCTTCTTACTGCGAAGCCCTGTAAGACACACTTCTTACTGATAAGCCCTGTAAGACACACTTTTTTCTGATAAGCCCTGAAAAACAAGATTCCTGTAGTAAAACACCCTTTTTACTGATAAGCCCAGTAAACACCATTCTGACTAATCAACCCTGTCAACACCTTACTGACATATAAGCCCTGTAAACACCATTCTGACTAATCATCCCTGTCAACACCTTTCTGACAGATAAGCCCAGTAAACAATCCTTCTGATGGGTTTACAGTCATAAACCTAGGTAATGGCACTCCCTACTGGTAAATCTAGGACTCGGCCTTTTCACTGATGGACCCTAGTAAACATCTTTCTCACAGATGAATCAAGGAAACACATGCATCAAGGCATCTTAAACATTCATCTTACTGAGCCCAGTTACAAATGAGAGGGATTTTTGCTGATCTAACAGCTTAGTATATTTTACACAATCTGATACAACTTACTAATTTTGTGCATTATTTTTAAGTTTCGTTGTAAAGACAATCTTGGCAGCAAAGAAATGCAGGAAAACCAAACTTTGAAATGAAATTGTTGGCATATAAATATTGGTAATTGGGTATATTTTTTCAGGTATGCAAAGAGTGGAATTAAAGTGTGCAGATTGTGGATCTCATCTAGGACATGTGTTTGATGATGGACCCAAACCAACTGGTATTAGATACTGTGTGAATTCAGCATCATTAGACTTTAAAAAACACACCACAGTATAATTTACTTGGGTATCGCCATCTTTTAAAACTCAAAAATTTTTTGTGGATTACTAATCCATGAAGATTTTGTGTTTTATAGTATTTCACCTTTTTATGATCTGTGGAGATTAGAAATATCATTATTTAATGCATTAATCCTTTAAATACTGTGTACAGTCATTGAACTTTAATAACACTTGTATTATGTTAATTAAAAAATAACCTGTTTAGACCTGTATACATGGATGCTATTAACTATTTAAATTTAAGGGTGCTGACATGTAGTTTTTAGGGTATTTTTTTAAGAGGGACCCACATGTGACATATACCCTAAATTTAAATATATAATAACTTTCAACTTACGAGAATAAACATAATCACAATAGAGTTAATCATAGTCTCCTTTTTCCATCTAAAATTGAATCAAGAGAACCATTTCAACACCCTGAGAACTTAGTTTTGTATTTGTTAAAGCTGCTGATGGCCATTTGCATCTTTCTGATAATAGCTAAATTTCAACTCAAAGTGATTATTTAAAATTTTATTTAGAAAACAAAATATCAATGGTTGATAATCTCCCGGCTTAGATTCAATTGAATGAAAAAGTTTTTACCAGACATTTATAGGTGAGCGCTAGGATGTCTATGTTTAATAGTATATTGTCTACAGCAGATGCTTACTGTTATGACATTTTCACTTCATCATATTCTTTTAAATATTGAACAGAATTGAACCATTTTTGGATTAATTTTCCTTATAGAGATTTAACCTTCACAGCATTATAGTTTGCTGAAGGATTAAAAATCCCTCAAATGATGATAAGAGAATTTAAGTTAATTGCATATCAGATTCTTGTTTATAAATTTGTTAAGAATTGGTTTGTTCTGCATAATATGAGATATTGTTGTAAAGCAAAGCTTCACTGTGACACTAACAATTTATTATATGGAAATTATGTCTCCTTTATTCTTGTTTAATTGCATGTTGACATAAATTTTTACCCCAGAAAATCTTTGATTCGAAAATTTTGTCTGAGAATGGAAAAGGTATTAGTTGTGAAAATTTAGGAAAATGGCAAATTTGTGTGTGTCAGTTTATTGTCTGTGCTTTGTGATCTCATATGATGTGCTGATATCAATTTGTAAATCTCATCTGATGTGCTGATATCAATTTGTAAATTAATCTGATGTGCTGCTATCAATTTGTAAATCTCATCTGATGTGCTGATATCAATTTGTAAATCTTATCTGGTATACTGATATCGATTGGAAATGTCTTTGCCAAATATTGTTTTGTGACAAGGCTCTTTACATTTCTGTGCTGTTGTTTTTTTTTTCGGGATGCCAAAGATAAATGAATGTTAAATGATTGATATCAATTTAAGAGTAGATAAATTTAGTTGAATAATTAATACATTATAACAATTCAAGTTAACGATTTATAAATGAATGGTGCTAATAACTTATCTAGTGATATTTTGTCCTTAGAAACCGGTGTTTTAAATACTTTAATTAGTAAACCAGGCTTGTCTGGGCCAGTCTCCGTAGATGTTATATGTCTTTAATAAGGAGACTGTTCCAGGTTGGCCTGTGTGATCCTGCTGTATAATCAACCAAATAAAACCTATTATTATTTATTAAAGCTCAACTCTACTCAGTAAGGATGTGGAAAAAGACTGGGGCAATGCAAGAGTTATCTCCCATTGCTTATCCAGATGTTCCTAAATTTTTAAAAGTATGTTTTGCACTTTAGTTCCAAAAACAATTTCAGTGTTCTCAGATTTAAAAGGCAGTGTTGCTAGAATGCCTGATACCACTTCTTATTTGAGGAGTTCAAATAGCTAAAATAAATTGGTTATACTTCTGTATATCAGATAAGTTGTATGACTTAAATGGCGACTTGAAGAACGAACGTATGAAGGGTAGAGTTGTCCTTTAATGTCTGCTATTTTTATTAAAATGGTATGATATTGGTAAATTTATGAAATGAATTGTATGGAAAGGTCTTCCCCATAGTATACTTTAATGTAAATACCCTGTAGATAATATGTTGGTTGTTTAGATAGAACGTACATAGTAGAAGAATTTAACAAATGTTGTAGTGTTCAAATATTTCAATTAGTTTAAGTTAAAAGATGTTATAGAATATTAGAATAACTGTAAATATGTAAGTGAAAAGATACCACAATATTCAAATATTACAATTAATATAAATAAGATATATATGCATAGCAGAATTCAGATATGAAAGTTATATGAGACTAAGCCAACATTTAGGGATAACTTGAATCCAAAAATATCATGATGGTAGCAATTGTTTAGTTATTATGACAAATTGCCATGTTATTTCGAAATACTCAAAATATACATGGTAAATATAAATATCTTGTAGTTTACATAGTTTTGAAAATAGTAAAGTAGGTCTAGATGAGAGCTAAATTCCTGGTTTTGATTTGCACATTTTAATTTTTACAAGTCATTAATGGGACAAACGTACAATATCAAGCTTAATACATTTACCTGTTTATTCATATATTTATGTGTGTATTCTAATCTTAAGGTTTAACAGAGGTCAATTTTAAAGATTATTTAATATATAAATTATAATTATTTATTTATAATAACACAAATTAATTGGACTAGAACTTGCAAATAAGTTGAGAGGGACTGGTCCAAATGGTTGAGCAAAGGCTCTGCACTTAATAAAGCATACTCATTACTTTTAAATAATTATTTTGGATTCTTCACATGTGAAAAATGCCTGGCACTTTCCCTTTCATTTTATAGAAATGTCATATCAAATACAATATAGTCAACAATTTATGAATGAAATATTTATGTGTTATTTTAATGAAACTTAATTTATAGAATGTTACATTGAAATAATGCCATAGTATGTTAAAACATTTTCCCTAAATATGTAATTAGGAACAGATTTTGTATATATGTCTTTATTATCTCCATTATTTTAACTAATTTCTCTCAGACATTTTGATAAACTTTATCATTATTTAGATGTTAGGATTGTTTAATATAATCTGTTTACAAGTTTTATTTTCTCTTTATTAAACTATTTGTATATATACATTTATCTATTTCTGTATATTTACTTAGTTTAATATAACTTACATTTTTAATATTACCCTTACACATATCCTAGAGATTTCACCATGACCTTTTTCTTATAAACCTACAGTAATAATTTTAAAATTTCATTGGGTGTTGCATAGGGTAAGACTTAAAATCATATTTATTTTGCATTATCTTATTACTCTTTTTGATCTGAATACTTTTTACATTTGCTATTAAAGCTGTCTAAAAATATACAGCAGCAGCCATGATTGATCATAAATATGACTACTAGAGTTTGATTGCATAAAACCTTCAAATGGAAACAAATTTTTGTGTTGAGTTAGACAAATTGTTTGGTTTAATTTGGGTTTTCTATCATTTGTTTTGTGGATATGTTGATATTTGTTTTGCAAAAGTTATTATAGGGTAATGTAATAAGCTTTAGATCTTTATTATTCACTTTATTTTGACAGCCTGACTACATGTGCATTCACTATTAATACAGCAATGTTTACAGGACTAAAACCATATAAATGAGCCATATATATGGGCACTGCGGTAGTTAGGTATGACTATATATATAGAGGCTTGCTAGAAAGAAGTTTTTGTTTTGTTTTCTATCCTTTTGTGTTTGAAGGTGTTTTATGATTGTTGTCCTCCTTACATATTCATGAACTCCATGGGGATACTCTATTGAATGTTCCGGAATTAAATTGTCTCAATTCCAAAAATAGTGTCAATCGAGTGAAAAGGAGAATTTTGGAGTACAACGCATGTGCCGACTGCATAAAAAATATCTTAACCAATCATGACAGCTGAAACATATTTGTTACTTAAAATACGTCACAATTTCATTTATTCTGTTTTATTTCTCTGTAACTTTAGAATGGCCATGTATATGAAATTGAAAATACATATCAGCCATATTTGGAAACAAATATGGTTAGTACAGTTTGATTATGAAAACCGTTCAGATACATGTAGATGTAAAATCTGGTATTTATTTAGCTAGATTTTATTTTGATTTTCTATATCAGTTGTTATTTTATTATGTTATATTATGGTTGTTTTATTTTGTAGATAAGCTTTGTTTTAGTTGCTGTATAATAGTAGCCTTAATTTATTTCATGATTTTTTGTTGTTAATTTTGTTAAATATAGAAATGTGCATTGTGTGATAAATAAACCATTTATTTCTTTATTAATACAGTGAGGTAGTTTAATGAAATCTAACAAATATATAACTATGTTTAATATGTGTTTTAAAGATTCATAAGATTAACAGAATTTGCATAAAATAAATTAAAGAGGTATTACAACTTTCCTGAATGAATGATTAGTTTCGTATTAAAACACCCCTTTATATTTGCAGATTGATTGAACATACCTCATGTAGATCAGAGCTAATCAAAATTATCTTTTTTATGGAGGTACAAAGATCCTCAAAGTGCCCATTGCTCTTTAGGATTTTGGTTAAGAATATTTATTTCATTTTTACAGATGTTAGTATACTTGAATTGAATTTTATTATATGAAAGCAATAGTATGACATATATTACATTAGTTGTTATTAACCCTTTGACAACCAAGTTCCTGAATGTTCCACTGCCTATTCATTGGTTTCCTGGGGCCAAGACGTCCATGTCTTGACTGAAACAAGTGAAGGTCGTGGATGAAGAACCAACTGCTCATATTATGGACAGTACAATTAATGTTGCTTTTTTGGCATTAACATATGATGTAAATAAGTGAAAGTTGCAAAAGTTTCTCTGGCCCCTGGTATTATGGGCACAACAATGTCACAGGCTTCAAATCTGGGCACAAATATTTAAAGGGTTAAATTTAAACTAACGGGTACATTGTACTTAAATGGGATTATCTGTTAATAATTAGAGAAATACATAGATGGGGTACTGATTGGTTGTAGCTGTTTATCCCAATCGCTTTAAGTTGGAACTTACATGTGCATGCTATTAATTTATTTATACTTACTAACAATGAAATAACTTATATTTATAAAAATTAACATTTGACTATGCATTTGATATAATGTGTGTTGTGTATAGACAGAGGGTGGTCATAAAACTTGTGACATAAAGTTGTTGTTTATTTCATATTTATGAATTCAGAGGGTACTTAAAACAGAATATAAAAAAAATTGATTATTTAGGTAGAAATTGTCAGGGATTAGATATTTGGCTGGTGGTTAAATAAAAAAAAATGCCATATTTTCCTGGAAGTCTGGAAAAATGTCTTTTTATTTCATACATATAATTCATATATCTGGCAGAAGATTTATAAGTCACTACCTTTATCAACCTTGGTTTTACCCCAAGCTGAATATAATCCATGTTGTTGTCATTGTAAATAAGTTAACTTTGGTACAAGAAGCAATGTCCTGGAACATGAAGAAAAGAACCCTTGTACTTATAGACATTTATTCCAAGTTTGTATGTATCCAAAACTTTTTGGCTCAATTTTGTCTATCTTGGCTCTTGGAACTTGACAATTTCTCTTTTGTCAAATTATTGGTTGCATGCTTTTTTTCTCCCTTAATGTATTTAATTTCTATAAATAAGAGGCTTTAATAGAAATGTTAGATTAGAATATCTTGTGATATTGTTATTATTATTATATATTAGAACAGGTATGTTTGTATCACCTTGTATTATATAGTATATTATATTAGAGTGTATTTTGTTTAGATTTTACCACACACCTTGTTCTAGTATGTGCAATAAACTTTTATAAAATTGGCTTTATTTTTTTTGTATTGTTAGCTTGAAACCACCACAAGTCACATGACTGAAGCAATGGTTCAATCTCATTCCCAAATAAAACTTTACCCTTCTTTTATCTCTGGTAAAACTAATTAGCGTGATATCGGTTCCTAAGCTCCTCCCCCAGTGGCTAGTGATCGGCAGGATTTGTTAGAATGAAATGCTGTCGTTTTCTCGACAATAAGGCATCGATTCGTACTTGAGTTACATATTAATCCTCCACATCTTGACATCAAAAGTTCATTCGAAAACAGCCGAATTAATGATTTACCGCCAACTATTTTTAGCGTGAAATTCTTGAAGAAACAGACACAGCTAACCAAAGATTCCTTACCGGTCACCCCACGAATGTAGGGCGAAAGTTTTTTTTTAGTCTTTCTATTCCTTTTGCCGATTCCCCCCTTTTGCATTTCGATAATTGTTGACTCTTTGGTGTAGCATTGAAGAAAAGGGGTTGAAAATACATTTTCTGCCAGGTTTTGATGAATATTCATGATTTTGAGGCGGAAGGATATGGTTGGTTAGGCTGAAATGTAGAGCTGAAAATTGCATGTCTATTAGTCTTTACTTCCAGTTAGTGTATCTCAAGTTTTCCATGGTGAACCTCATATGTGCTTTTGAGCAAAAGGTTGCCACGTGTTGCTTCATCTGTGGTACAAAGTTTTCTACCCAACGAATATTTGGGAAAAAGTTAGAGCCGGTCTTTGAAGTTGGTCTTATCATTGAAGGATTGCAAGTCAGTGGTTTTGTTATTTCCCATAAACAAATGTTGAGTCAAAAATAATCGTACTGGAAAAATGATACAGAAATCCACAATGATTGTTTAGACATGACTGAACCGCTTTAACTATTTTCATCAAATTTGGCGGTGGCTCAGTGTGTAAGACGTTGGCTCGATAACCCGGAGGACCTGTGTTGGATCCCGATTTTGGCCGAGAAAGTTCATTGGGATTTTCAGACGTGCCCCCCCCTCCCCCCTCGTGGTGCAAGGGCCTGGCAAATGAATTGACGTGTAGTCAGATGTTCGGATGGAATGAAAAACTGAGCTGCCGTAGACACACTGGCGTGCATGTAAAAGATCCCTTGGCAGTTGGAATTCGATATAATGCGATATGCCGCTGTCTGGACAAACTTTCCCCTTAGCACACTGTATGGCATATGCACGCCTTTATTAGCCCAGTCGGGACAAAGTAGTAGGACGTTTAACCCCATTTCATTTCATTTCCGTTTGCTTCCGTTTGTTCAAATTTTGCTTCAGACCCCTTTGGACATGAGTATCGTAAACAGACAAGTTTTGACATTTTTTTAACTTGTACAGCTTTAAACATGCATTATGCAAGAGCAAAATCTGCTTATTGCAAGTCTTTCTTTAGGCCTGAAATGTTATCTCAATTATCAATTAGACATTAATTAACTTATCCAGACCATAATAAACTCTCGATGTCAAGGCTAGCCTTCGATGTTGGCTGGATTAGATTCCTATATGCCGCTAACGGCCACTGATAATTAAATCAGAAAAAGTGGATAATCGAGACTATGCTGTTTATATTAATGATTTTAGTAATGATGACCGAGACTATGCAAAAATTTCACCCGCTTCTTTCTCGGCTCACAGTGGATCAATTTGACTGAAATTTTCAGCAAATTACCTTTACACTATCTAGTTTTAAACTATTATAGCGAGAACTGCCATCTCTTTATCTTATCTCCCATAATGTTTCTTTAAGTAATACAGCACAGTTAAAAAGAAGTGTTAGTTTTTGCAGGACCTATATAAATATGTTTCTGTGGCTAAATACATTTTCTTTTTAAAACTAGACACGGGACGTTTAAACTCGTTCGACAACATATTTTATAGTTTGTCTAGAGAAAAAAAAATTGTAGGCACATTTTCGATATTTACATATTTTATTCTTTTTCACTGTAAATGACATGAAATATGGATTGTATAAAAAATATGAGATTTGCACGCCCGCATGCAATAAATATAAGCATACGAGCACACACAGTATACGTGGTTCTGGTTGATAATGAAATATATATTACTTATAATTTACACTATTGTATTCTATATTGCACTTCTTATGAATGTTGACAGTCGCCCTAATAAAAGATAATGTCTCAAATATAAAAAACTTCCTTAAAAATTCTTATTTGTTAGGTAACTGATAAAGTTAATTTTATCCCTTTAAACTTTGGATTTTGCTAAGGTTTTTCTAGAAGGAGCAAAAATTGAAACCCGATGAAAAGACCTCGCCCTGAAGCCGTTGGAGACAAAAATGAATTGATGTGATTTTACTATAAATCGGTGATATTTAAATTAGATTGTATGCTAACTTTGAGACGAATCTGTTCAACCATTGCTGCAATGGCATTTGCCAATGGGTTTGACGAACGCTCAAACGCTGGGGAGTATTTTGAATATGGTATTAATGAAAATTAATTACATTTATTTTCTTGGTGAAAGTGGTAACACCTTTTGAAATTACGGTTGTTTTTTCAATAAAATATTTTATGGATCCAGAATTTTCGTTTGTCTTCAGATGAAATTTTTACAATGTACTTTAACACTTAGCCAATGAAAAGTCAGATTTCTTTTCATATTCAACTACCATAAGGTCCAATTTGGTCGTGGTACAGACGGTCGTTCAAAAGAGAGCGACTGCCCATTCATTATTTATTATGAACTTTTAGAAATATGTAATTTCGTGCAATCGTGTGTTCAATAAGAAAGTAAACTTAAAGGGGAGCTAAATCCGCTCCCATTGGTGAATTTAACATATCAAGCTATTTACATTCAGTTTATACATATACACAAAGTTTGAAACAATAAAACAGTTTGGTCTAAAGTGGCGATTATAATACAGATGATGTAAATGTGATAAACATATAGGTCTTATTCTACATATCCGTTCAGTTTGTCGAAGATTAAGTAAACTCCTTGTTCAAACTTCCCTTTTACCATAAATCTCTCCCATATAATTCCCTCCACGATAAAATGGCATGTGTTTCTGAAAACATATTTATCGCAGTCAGTAATTTAGAAACAAGCCAATAGTGAGGCTGATGTTCCCCGCCGAAATCCCCACATAAATAGATGACACATATTAATTAATTAATTGCACGTTTATCTTTTTCAAAAGTATCGAGCAATCAAACTGGTTATCAACGATACGGTAAGTTTCATCACTCTCTATCAGTTAGAATAAAAGTTATCTTGTCCCAGAGCAACGACTACTGAAAATGCTTAGCTCTGCTTAGCTGTAGCAGGAAATGTTAATCATCGAACTCCGTCAAGACATTCACCCAATGAACATCTACATCTAGTTTAAACATTCTACCCCAATTATGTTCGAATGTCTTGACTAATCAAATTGGTTATCGCTCCTTAGCCTAAGCAGAAAATTCTCATCATCGAACTTAGTGATAGGTAATGAACGAATCTATACTCGGAGTTTCATCGCTCTCTCTCACACAATTAGAACAAACGTTTTCGTGTTCCAAGTCTCAACCACTCAAATTGCTTATATCTGCTTAGCCTTAATGCAAAAGGCGCATGATCTAACTCTGACAAAGCATTCATCTAATAGACACCTACACCAAGTTTGAACATTCATTCTACCTCAATTAGAAATGAAATGAAATGGGGTTTAACGTCCTACTACCTCAATTAGAAGGAGGGTTATTATGTTCCAATGTCTCGACCAATCAGATCGAAGTCTCTACTTTGCCTAAGCAGAAAATGCTCAGCATCGAACTTAAGTTATTGATGTAATGACACTATACACCAATTTTCACCACTATCACTCAATTAGAATCAAAGTTGTCGAGCTCCAAAGACTTGACCAATCAAATTGGTTATCGCTCTGCTTATCCAGAGCCGAAAATGTTCATTATCGAACTTAGTCAAGGTATTGACTATACACCAAACGTCATCACGCTCACGTACTTAGAACTAAAGTTATCGTGCCCCAAAGCATCAACCAATCAAATTGCTTATCTCCGCTTACTGTAAGCAGACTATGCTCATCTTCGAACTCCATCGAAGCATTCACCCAATGAACGCCTGCACCAAGTTTGAACAATTATACCCCAATTAGAAATGAAATAACTGGGCTAATTAAGACGTGCATACGCCATACATTGTGCTATAAGGGAAATTGTACCTGGATATCGGCACCACGGCCTACTCTTGTATCGAATTCCAACTGCCGAGGGATCTTTTACGTGCACGCAAATGTGAACACGGGACCTCGATTGTTCGTTCAATCCGAAAGACTAGACAGCTGTCCTTGTCCGCCCTCCGTCCTGTACCACTGTCAAGGAGAAACCTCAAATAGAAGGAGAGTTAATGTCTTCCAAAATCTCGACCAATATAATTGCTTATCGCTCTACCAACCCTGAGCAGAAAATGTTCATTATCGACCTTAGTCAAGGCAATGATGTAATAAAACTATACACCAAGTTTCACCGCTTTCATTTTTTTAGAACTAAAGTTATCGTGTTCCAAAGCATCAACCAATCAAATTGCTTATCACTGCTTACTCTAAGCAGAAAATGCACATCAAATGCACAACAAATACCTACACCAAGTTTGAACATTCTAGCGCAATTAGAAGGAGAGTTATTGTGTCCCAAAAAGTGTGACGGACAGACAGACAGACGGACAGACCCATTTTAATAGTCCCCTGCTTTCTTCGAAACGGGGGGCACTTAAAGAGTTAAAATTATCAGCAATGTTGACGCCATTGTCTAAAAGTTCAAATAACACAAGTTTTTATGGTGTGAAGAATTGTTTAAACTACCATTTTATAGGTCATTTTCCTCTATCGACATTCTTAAACTGTTGGGCCATTACCCATATATAGATAGACTAGAGAGAGGTGATGCGTTAATCTGAGCCATTCTCATTAACTCTCATTTTTGTATGTAATGTGAATGTTGTCACTCCTTTTTGTGTAGTACATCGTCATTTGACACTGTTTTCCACCATAGTTGTCTAGTACTGAAATATTTTGGAATGGAATATAAATGAACTAAACATTCGCTGAATTTACACCGAGCTTATCCCCCCAAATAGTTAGCAGTGACACATCAACTATTGAAGATGACAAGTGGTATCGCTGCTACTAATATTAACTGTAAACTGTAGGTAATTGTTGTTGAGTCACTAAATGAGTTAACATCCGTTTTTGATTCCGTTACAACCAGAAGTAATTCATCATCTTGATTTGAATCTGCCTCTCTTTGACCCTTCTCCTTAGCAACGAACTGATCAGTTCCGGGTGGCACGCTTTGAATAATGTTGTCTTTTCTATCCGGGCATCCTAACCACCAATTACCAATATTACGAGGGTATCCTTCGTCAACCTGAAACAGAAGGAAAGTTTAAACAAAATTCAATTATTATTAGTACGCATCACTGATTGGACTGGTGAGACAATGCAGCTCAAATGTGATTTTGGCATGATCGTATGCTTGACATTTACCGACACAAGAAACGTAGGCACAGCGGAGGCAAATTAAAAGTCAGTATCTAGAAGAAATATTTTTGGCTGGCTTGTGTGTTCAAAGAAATTCGCCCGGAACTCCATTTCGGAACTAGTATGCGCCAATTCCAAGTAACTTATGTAGCAAAGGAAATAGTTTCGTTATCAGACACCCAGATGACGGAAGCGTTTTGTTTTCAAGGCCACTGTTCAATATAGAGGACTGAAAGATAAAGAGTGGCTATTTCAAAATTCGAGGTTCTGGGAAGTCAAAACGCCACCGCTATTCCACGTTCTCACCAATTATACTTACTTTGAATTTATTATCATGGAATCTGTAATACTGGTTACCACTGAAAAAATACGTTCTTCCATTACGCCATTTAAAAGCTCCATCTATACGATTAGGTAGCCCTCGCCATACTGTTAACGGTTTAGGATAACCAAAATCTACTGCTCTGTCTGTATATCTCCAATACCGATCACCTGAATTAAAAATAAGGCTTTAAAACGCTTGTGTAATTTTGAAAATAAGGGCGGGTGGGGAAATAGGCTACATTTGCCAAATAATAAATAATGACAAAGAATTTATTTTAGGTGTTTAGAACGAAGAGGTAAAATAAGACGGTATACCAAATAAAGACTACTAAGTCTAATACACGTAATTGTAATTGTGCCGAGAAAACCCTTGAAAGATTCCCTAAAACATGCATGTCAAATTAAACTGTTTATTCTTCCCTCTCTTTGTTTCAACATTGTGTTCTGTTGTTCTGTTTTTTTGTCTGAATCACTGAACGTATGCCATTTCTTGGTCAAGAATGGTCTTAACCAACCATTATGATGGTGAACAGACAACTGACAAGGAGTTAGTTAATGGAGATCAGCACACATTTAAAATCAGGACGAAATAACTTTGATCCAATTTCGTTTCATTTTTCTGAAACACACTTTAGGAAATACATTTAAAATCAGGACAAAATATCTTAGCTTCATTATTCTGAAACACACTTTAGGCAAAGCATACTATTCTTCTTACCTTTAAAGAAATAAGTCTTGCCATTTCCGCCCCACACAAAAACAGCATCGACGTCATTAGGTATTCCTCTAAAACCTTCTGATATTAATTTGGCGTAGATAAAGCGGAAATTATGAAATTTATAATAATATTCTCCCTGAAAAAGAAAAGTAATTACATGGAAAATAGAACAAAAAGAAATGGAACGGAGGATAGCGTCTTGTGAAAGCAACAATACCGTTACCGCGAGCTCAAATCTTAAAACGGGTTGTAAGATGTAATATATGCTTGCAATTGAGGTGTTTATCGTTAATTGTTTATCGAGCACGACTCGAAAACAGAAAATAAATTGTCTTCTCCCGATAAAATGTTGACCCTATTTATAGTTACATAGGTAACAAACCTGCCAACATCCAGTGAGATAAAGCAAGTTTGTAGGCGACAGATGAATAAACATACATATCTAACTTGAAAACACCAACAATAATTCCCACATGCACTAGAACTTCCAGACTGGTGATGCCCGAAAATTAGATTAATATCCGTAACCATAGACTCTTATATATAGATACCCCATTGTTGAATCATCCGATTTATTTGGTATTAGTTAAAGGTTAAATTAACATGGAAGAAGGCAAATGCTACATATGTTTCGAATGCTTATTCGTTTCTTATACCCTTAGCTATATTCCTTTTATATACTGAATTTTGGCATTGTGCCTCCCCACCCCGCAATATTCTGGCCTTACGCGAATGCTATATTAATTTCAGCACCAACCTCATCCTCATATTCCGGCCAGACATTGATGAGGACCTAAACTGACCCTAGATGACATACGTTGAAATTTTGAATGGTCCTTAGCTGTGAAGTCATATCGGAGTGGTGACTGTGAAATACATCCACCCCGTAAAAAGATTTTGATAATAGAATCGGCAATATTGAGGAAAGAGGAAATCACAATGACAAGAGTAGAATATGGGCCGTTTGAAATAGGAGTATTCGGCGAATGTCGAAGATTCCCAGGTGTGCCTGTTAACCTTCTGCATGTATCAATAAATGAATATCTGAATCGACCAACTGGCGTACCAAGCTGTATCAAAATTACATCCGTGTAAAAGACATACTAGATTGCTTACCTTAAAGAAATAAGTAAAACCATTATCCCAATGTACAACACCATCAATAGGTCCCTCTACACCTTTCCAATCCCACGATATATCACGTGGGTATCCAAGATCAACTCCATAACCATTTAAACGATAATATTTCTGTCCTATGAATGAATGTTATTAATTATTTGATTACGAATTATAACTCTTAATACTAAAAAAGCTCTTCCACGTTTTGTATTTTGGATTAAACCTTTGATCGAGGCTTATACAAATAGTGGACATATTACATCACAATGAGTATATTTATACAAATAATAAAAAATAGTATCAAAATGAACCCCCAAACGTGTAACATTTCGAAGAGACATTAAGTCCTATTCCACAATTTATTTCATTTATGGACCTGAAGACAGGGATATTTAAGGCCTAAGCAAAAATTGGATGGGCGTCATCTGGTCATTGTTGATAAGTAGAGAATATCTATGTCTTGTATCAACAACATTAATTCATTTTCCGGTATTCACCAAACTTATTATAGTTGTAGTGGTGCATGGGGAACAGTATCCGTATATGCTTATTCCATTTGAAACAGCTAATACTACTTTGACTTTGGAACACCAGTTGCTGGTAAGACCCACGTGCTACATGGTAATGATGTCTCCTTTTCAACAATATTTTATTTCAAATGGAATGAGAACGGATTGGGAACAGGCATAGTCTATATCACCCCTCTCCTCATACAAGGAATATAAAACATATAATAAACATATCTGCTATGTACATATAAAATAATGGGGAAGAAAACATATAAAGTAAATAAGTTATATACACACTATAACAAATGAAAGAAGATGTGCTATTTTGTAACCTGATTTAAAATTGATAAGAAATTAAAATCAAATACTGAAACGTCTAGTGACATCGAAGTATTCATGTACTTGTTTAAAAATGTTATTGGTTGTAGCCTGTTTATCTGTGCCAAATAGGACTGATTTAATTAATTGCTAAGATTTATTGTGTTTTTTCATACATCTGAATACAATGGGAACCAGCGGAGAAAATGTTCAGAATCTTCAAATCGATGCCCACAGCTGCATAATGGATCCTCGGAGATATGTCGTAAAAATTTATGACCGTTTAGGTCGTCACAAGAAAGCAGTAATCTGCTATATCTGGTTCTTTTTATTTGCTTTATAAAAATGAATTTGGAATAGGGATGTCGTTTTGTTTCAATTTTTGTTTTAAGGTAGTAAGAAACGGAGAAGTTCTTATATTCATATCAAGTTTGTTCCATACTTTTGTTGATGAGGGTTCGAAAGAATTGTTGTTCTACATTGGTATTCTGAATGATTTTCATTGTTTCTTAGATGATACGTATTTGGTCGGTATAAAATGATGTCTTTTAGGTATGCGGGTGTCAGATCATTAATAATTTTATAAATAAGTGTCAATTTGTGTCGTTTGCGTCTTTCTTGTAGCCTTATAAATCCGGTTTCGTTGTATAAGAGTTTATGGCGGGTACCTCTTACCCCTTTCTGGCTGCTCTTTAGTGTAAATAGTACTAGATTTTTAAAACACATTGTTGATTCTTACCTTTGAATACATACGTCAAGCCATCGGTTGTTCTAGTAATAGCGTCTATAGTAGGATCATTACATATAGAAGGTACAGTTATAGTTGGTGATCTTGTTGGTTTATATGGTGATGGACTACCTGCAAAATATAACGTTCTTATTTACTTTGAAATTTGTATTTTTGGTATCAGGGCACTGGAATGCTCCACGTTCGAATCACGGCGTTATGGAACAGTTTCCAGTTCATAAATGTAACTCAGTCGTTTGGATGGGACGAGAACAAAATTTCCACTCGTGTACACATTGGCGTGTAGGTAAAAAAAACCCTCGTGACCGTAGAAAATTTACAGTAAGTTAGTCTTAAAATGACCCAAGTTCTTCTAACAGCTAGTTAGAAGAATGTTGCATCGTTTCGTCTTAAAGGTTCTGACGGACAGACGGAAAAACTCATATTAGTAGTTCCCAGCTTTCTCCGGTAGCCGGGTGACAAACAACTATTGGAAATCGTCTTATTTTAACCATTTTGGCAAGTTTTATAATTTTAAATAACGGACACGTCGTATCAGGTAGAATGAATGAGTATGTATATTTGTAATTGGCCATATAGACTATAGCTTTACATACTGAGATGGGATATTCAGATATTCAGCCAAAACATCAACGAAGCGTTGGACCTGCATCATAGGAGCTATAGATGATTTCGTGAGGAAGGCCATTCTGTAAAACTATCTCAATGCATTGACTTGTAATTAGAATAGCCTAAATCTGACTTTTCTGTTAAATGAGTTGGAAAAAGAACATTTACCATATAGTTCTCGTATGGCATTGATATCATCAGACGACAGCTCAATAGACTTCTGGTAACCACGATAGAATGGCGCCATTAGCGCTCTGCTATCGTCTGAATGTGCCAACCCCAATGAATGGCCAAATTCGTGGGCGGCAACTTGAAATAAGTTTACTCCTGAAAGACAAGAAATTTGTAAAGTTTGGATCAATTATTCATTTTATTGAACCAAAAAGTCGGGCACAAACGACCTTCATCAACATTCAAATTCAAAAGAGAAGTAAATGGGTCGTTTAGGGAAAGCCACACAACATCATTCATAAAGGCAATTGGTCCCCGAAAGAGAAACACATCCGGCCTTGTGACACCCGTATAAACCAACTGTAACATTAGACAGATTTGTAGTGATAGCAGACGTATTCTAGCAATAAAAAATTACACGATAACGACCATGGAATTCTGGAAATGCAGACTTCGGGCTAATTAATAAATATCAATAACATAGACCATGAAATTGTATGCACGAGTTAATATTTATTGACATCAGATAATTTTACTGATACCCAGCAGTTATAATGGAATTAAAATTGCTACATGTTCCTTTGTTTACTGCTTATACGAACAAGATCGATTCCATTGACTAAAGGAGCTTTTGACCTTAGTCTTGCGTTCATATCGACAGCATAGATCACAAATTTCGCAGTGGTTTAAAGGGATAATTGTTAATGGATTCTTGGTGTATCTTTAAAATATAACACGCCTAAAGGAACATCTGCGTGGGGGGGGGGGGTGTTTTTATTCTAGATTAAAATGTATCTTACCTTCTGGTGTGTCTACCGTCCATGGCTCCTCCTCGTCAAAATGTGCATCGCCGCCATATTGTGGAAAAAAGGCGTGCGCCAGAGTACGACCTTGACCATCAAAGGGATTACCATCTCCATGAGAGCGACGAACAAATTTGATCTCGAGGTCAACGTCCCCGTCCATACGTTCTTCTTTTATAAATGTTAAGGGTGTAACTTTTGACCAAATCTGAAAATAAAATATAATTCCTTGTAAGGGTGTAACTTTTGACCAAATCTGAAAATAAAATATAATTCCTTGTAAGGCTTAAATTCGCTGTCTAGTGCTTAAATAGCCAAAAATACAAATTACTTCGCCTTTAATTTACTTTATAGATTTATGTCCCCGATTTACCCATGTAAACTACTCGATACTCCAACCACTTAATAAGTAAAACACGGGTTAAAACCTCTTCTGTAATTTTGTGTTTTGTGTAGTACTTTACAACCGATTAAGTAATTTTAATGATCGAAGCCCTTAAGGACAATAGTTATGTTGCGGCAAATGCTTACTTCTAAGGCCCTTTTGACTTCAGTTTCCACACGATTCCTTGGTAAAGCCCCGGGATAAGATTTTGTACGATATGTTAACTCTTTCTTGGCCCATTTACTCCCTGAAAATAATATAGAAAGAAAGACTCAATCGAATTATTCTTACATTTTTACAAATTTCGTTCATTTTCCAGTCATACGGATCCATAGATTTACTTATAATTATCAAAGTTCAAATATAGCCGTTGCTAAAAACAAAGTATCGTGCCGCGATAATATACTATTCAAAAAAAGTAGGGGATATTTGATTTTGGGGGCATAATACTAAAATATGCAAATGACTACGAAAAAAGTCACTATAGAACCTAACAGAAAAAACATTTCCAGTTACATGTGACGCCCAAACGCACCAATAGCTACCGCATGGAATGCAGGTGATGCTTGGGATCATCATGGGGGTCCAACCCAAGATTTGCACGACTCTGACTTTGAATGTTACAGTCATTGTGGCACTGAATTCCAGGGTGGAAACATCAGTTTAATTGTTTTAGTGACCAGAAAACAAATTTTGATATGCGTCGGCTTACCCAAAATGAAAGGTTACGTGCCCTTGGCATGCTACAGATCGGCACAACACAGGCGGTTGTGGCGCGGACGATGAATGTTTCTCAGTCTGTCATAAGCAGGCTATGGTCCAGATACCGTGATACACAATCTGTACAGGACAGACCACGCTCAGGTCGACCAAGGGCGACAACTCAAGCCCAGGATCGATTTATCCGTACCTTGGCCTTGAGAAATCGTGTCATCACAGCAAATCAGATCAGCGCTCGTCTTCAAACAGACACTGGTGTGAGAGTGAGTGGCCAGACGATTCGGAATCGACTGCATAGGGGTCACCTTCGCGCCCGACGTCCTCGCGTGATCCCTTGTTTGAGAGATCATCACATTCAGGCAAGACGTCGTTGGTGTAGGGATCGTCAACACTGGGATAATCGACGCTGGAGCAATGTGATGTTTTCAGATGAGTCAAGGTTCACTGTTGATTTTTTTGACAGACGTAGGAGGGTGTGGCGTCGTCGAAACGAGCGCTTCCAAGACGTTAACGTCATCAGACATGATCGATTTGGGGGTGGTTCTGTTATGGTGTGGGGAGGCATCACTGTTGCTGGAAGAACGGCTTTACATGTTGTTGCAGGGCGTGTTACAGGCCAGTACTACCGGGACAACATCTTGGCAGTCCATGTTGTGCCGTTCGCACGACGTCATGGCCGCCGTTTCATCTTCCAGGATGACAACGTCAACAACGTCCTGCCAATGTCCAAGAACTTGCTGCTGCGTTGCAACAGGAATGGGACAATCTGGACCAAAATGACCTTAGACGTCTCATTAGGAGTATGCCACGTCGGATCAATGCTTGTTTGGCAAACAGAGGAGGATTTACCCGTTACTGACTTGGTTGTGATGCTGTGGTAACTTTGCTGTTTGACCCCGGGTATCATTTTACCCTTATAATGGTCAGTCTGTGCCTTACTTAGTCTAACGATCATTTGGAATAAATCGATGAATGTGAACTTCATTTCATTTTGTCATTTGTTTCTTCGTCAGTTTCATTAGGTGACTTTAATAACACTTAAAAATCAAATATCCCCTACTTTTTTTGAATAGTATAGAAGCACCTTTATCTCTATAACAGATGGACCCTAAATTCTCCACAGAATGTAATAGGACCACGTCAGTGCAAATACCGTTTTATCCAAGTGTATTGTTTTCAAATAAATAAAATAAATCAATTATTTTTCGGTGAAATACGTAAACAGTGTGAATAAGCTATTTTTAATTACATTCGTACTGTTTTTTGGGATATGTTTTTCTTTGTTTATTTCTATCCACAGATTACGCGAGTCGTATACTGCTTTTAAAATTGTCATTGTGTCTTAAATATTGTATATTAGGATCCCATAATTTCACAAGATAACAACATCAATATTGATTGAAATGGACCAATAATAATATTGAATTCTAATTCGTGTTTTTAATTTCGAACATTATGGATAATACTGAGTTAGGAGTTTAGCGCCTTTACGGATAATTATAATACAGTTATTACACGTCGTAAATCTTATAGGTGATTTTATAATATACTCTTCAAAAAAAGTAGGGGATATTCAGAAACAATACAACACTGCGGAAATGCACTGCTAATTTTATTAGAGGTAACCAGTGTATGTTAATAACAGGCCTACACATGAACATAAACAGTTCACAGTTTATCTGACGGTCCCATTTCACTCGCAAAGAGATACACCGTCAAAAGTGAAAATGGACGTTTTTGATTTTTGCTCCACCAATCCTCAGACATTCAGCAATTCGTCGTGGCTTGCTCCTAATCAACCGTCCAATCACGATTTGGGGCAATCTGACCCACTCCTCTTGCAGTGCCACGGCCAATTCTTGCAGTGTTGTCGGTTGACGTTTACGTCGACGAACACATCTCCCGATCAAATTAAACGTAACACACTAAAGCAAAGATATGCTAAACAGTAAATCTTATGCAAGTCGCATGTGCAGCTCAGTTGTTCTGTTGGGGCGATAAGTTCTTCATCTGTGAACATACTCTCAAAGCATGTCAAGTGTCCATGACTATTTATCATATCACAACCTGCATAGGTATTTGCATTTCAATATCCCCTACTGTTTTTGAAGAGTATATATTATGTCGCTGCCCAACCCCGTAAAGTGATCGTACTATTATTATGTTCTATAAAACGCATGGCTCACTTCTATAACTTACATCTATACCAGTCTATCTAAGACAAAACACATCCACTCCAGAGATACTAAATGTAGTAGTTCAACATTTAATCTAATCGTGCTGATTGTCCCCAGTGATTCTAAACAGTAGAAATAAAACCAGACAGGTGACATGTATGGTATGCATGGCAAGGTTCAAGTTCAGTACAATACCATATTAATTATTAATCCAATAACCTGGGGGTTTTTCAAACGCTATATACCGCTGCTGATAATTAATGTCTGTGACAGAATATTTGTACTTCTTTTCGGGAAATTGAGACTCTTATATGTTATGTGTGGTGAATGGACGAGATCATTTTGAACATACTATGAGCAAGTAAATAATAGAACGATTTCAGATTATGATTATCAGCCTCTGCCATCTCACCTACCGTCAAGGCCTCAGACAACCGAGAAACCCAAACCGCTGTAGGTGTGTAACACGGTGAAGATGTAATGTCACTGGTCTCTTCTTTTAAACGGCTAAAACTTAATCAGTTTCGGTGTACATGTATACATTGCTCAGTTAAATCAAGATTTTATGGGGACTTCCAGCCAACACATAGGGCAGTGTCGGTGCCAACTGCAGATTCATGATTAGATGTACGGGTGGTTGGGTATACAACACAGTTTATGGTCGCTAGGCAGACAAAACTAACTCTCCCGTAAGAGACCTGCTATTCCCATGTCGCTGCTTGTAAAAATATATGTGGATCAACAAATGTTGTGAAGGTTAACGGCACATAACGATGGTACCATAGAACCTCGATGAGAAGAATGGTATTTGTTTCGTTGTCTTGTATAAAGCATGTTACCACAGCTGAAGTAGATTAAACAGTGTAGTTTTATATAGAATGTTATCCCGTTATACATCACACTCATATAAACTATACCTACCAATGATGCAATTACATAAACCCCCAAAACAAACGGTTAAATTAGTTCTTAAAGGTACAGCAATACCGGTTTTCACGTAATGATCTAAAATAAAAGAATCAAGTTCGACTCTATCTTGAACAACCTCGTAGTTTCCAGCGAACTTGGTCTAGTTTTGACCATGAACGACAGATTCCGGTCATAAAAGAACTTAACAGAAAAAGAGAAGAATGAAATGAGGTACTTTTCTGCACCATCCGGGCTAATGAAGTCAGACACACGTCATACAGTGAGCTATGACAGCAATTGGATTCCAACTGCCATGGGTACTTTTACGTGTACGCCAATGTGAACACCGGACCTCGGTGTTTAGTCACATCCGAACGACTGGTCGCCGTTTCTTGCCAGGTCTCCATCCTGCAGCCCTGACAAGGTGAAACCACGCTAGAAAATTCCTGTGAACTTTCTCAGCCAACATTTGGATTGAAACGCACCTCCTGATTAGTGAGGCAGCTCCTTAAACACTAAGACGCTGTGACGAGAAGAACATAGAACGCACACGGCGATTAGAACATGTTCAGGAATGTGTTATTATACTGTACTTTTGATTGCTTTAGTATTAGGTAGAAGTTATTTTTAAAAGCACATGAATAAGTAATTGAAATTAAGAAATGTATGAACCAAAATTTTCGAAGACGTATTGGCGAGGTTAAGCTCACCTAACATCGTCAGCACACTCGAAACAAATTGTAATTTTATTGGAATTAAAAACACGTATTGTAAATAAACTTGCTACCACAGCCCTGATTCTACTGCCAAATTTGAATAGTTTTAATGATTTTTCAAGTAGACATGAGAAAATGCCTGAAATTTGCCCCCCCCCCCCCCCACACACACACTTTGAACTCCATAAGCTTATACTATACATGCCAGAGAGTAATTGTGTAAGGATAGAAGGAAGTCAAATATATACTTATAAAATATCATATCATATCCTTTCAAATATTTTATAAATAGATTTAACATTTGATATTTAAATAAAATGGAAGCGAATCTGAATAAGTATACTTAACTTCAGTGTTAAAGTTTATATTCGACTCTGCTTACATATAGGCTAAATGTTTACTGGGTAATGCTATGACTTTTCACCCCATAGAAAAAGTCCCCAAAACGTTGTCTAAAGGTTATTTTAAACCACTAGATGGGGAGAAAAAGGGAATAACGATGTTTTGACATCTTTTTGTTGGTTATGTTGTAGTGTATCCATTAGACATTTATTCATTATTCAATTTTGGTTCCGTCTTCATTAGCCGCCAGTCGGGGCAGAACAGTAGGACGTTAAACCCCATGTCATTTCAATTTTGGTTAATATAACAATTCATGACCTCGAAGTCGAATTAATATATCGCTTGGTTTATACTTAATGTAAGGACATATATGTTATAGATATTATGTGCATATCATCTTACGTATTTAAAGATGTATTTATGGCCAACTTGTGATCCTTAGATTGTATATGTTTATGTAACGTTGACCGTTAGCCAGATTTTGACACTCGCTTATTAAAAGTAGATTTTTAATTATTTAAGTGAGTTATCGACTAAATTGCGGAAATAAGAACCTCCAGATAATAGAGCCATGGTACTTCACCTAGCAATTCCAAAGACATCAGAATTTATTGAAGAATATCTATTATTTGGCCTAGTTCAGCTCTAACTTGTCTCTGAACACAAATTGCCTACTGCCAAATGTGAATAGTTTGAATGATTTTTCAAATAGACATGAGAAGATGCCTGAAATTTGCCCCCCCCCCCCACTTTGTGTCATCACCGAAATAAAAATAGACACACAAATTATCATATTCAACTCAAAATGATGGAAACATGGCATGATGAACTCAAACTATCTTCTCGGCACACTTGCTAATTATCATTCCAAAGTCTTACCCACAAAGAAATTGGCATTCTTTTTTACTTTAATGTTTGCCCACCTAAGATATTTTCGACATGTGTGTCAAATTTGCCCTTTTCATGTATATCACGAAATAAAAGTTGCTTATATGGATTTATCAAAAATGGTATCTAAACAATGTGAAGGTAGCTTGCCTGCTTTAGTCGACTTTATGGCACACGCGGTTGGAAATATTCTTCGGATGTATCAGAAATAAATGAGATTTAAAAAAATATAGTTTTCTGATAGCCTTAGTTGCTCACGCAGATAGATATGTAATGCCCGCTCTAATTCTTGCGATTAGTGATGGCTAGGTAGGCTATGCAGTAAACAAACTGTTTTTATGTAGCTTAAAAGGGAATTGTCGACCTTGAATACTTAGCTATTGATTGCGGAAGTTAATAATAAATACATATATCTCATTTGTCAGTAAATTGGCTTTCAAGATATGATTATCTCTATTATTCAGACGGATGGACTTTGAGCGGAATATATGGAAAACATATAAGTGCAATGTTTTGACGTGCTATTATTGCGACATTGGCAGCTTATTACAATATCCCCATCGGCAATATTACTTAAAAACAAGAAAAGAAGATTAAATAGGAATTATACGAGAGATAAATTTACCTATTGTGGGGTGTTTTCTGGATTCAAATATTTCCCGTCTTCATTAAACCCCATTTCATTTCATTTCAAATGTTGTATATATATCATTATTATTTAGACATTTACAGCAAGCCCATATCCATTAACCTGGGCCATCGGGTAACTTATTTAAAAGTGAATATGACAATACCCGTCATATCTGCGTTAAACACTTATGTGGCCCACTAAGCCGAACGTTTTTGAAAATGCATGCCGTTGCTCGGAGACTAGTTATAAACATTTTTCTATTCTTATATATCAAAAGTCCTATTTGGGTCAAAAGTCATAAAAATTTAATGCAAATTTAATTGCACACATTGTTTGAAACCCGATAAAAGTATAGCAATTAAATAATTCGCTCAGAATAAAGTAATTTGACTCAGTATATTCATTTTCTATTATCTATAGCGCAAACGGTCAGCGCTTTCTCTAAATCTCCCATAATGTCTCTTTAATGCAACCAAGCTATCAGACCATAGACGAACAAATGATGAACATTGCCTTGACTATAGAATAATAATATAGTGTTGTTAATATTGAGTAAACATTCGCTATGGTAAATGTAACTGGTTAGAAGAGGTTGTCAAAATATCAACCACTATTTTATCAGTCTTCTATACACATGGCCGTTGACTCTACACAGATTTCGCAGGTTAACAAAAATAATGAACATGTACCCGTCGCTATACGTGCATTTTACTGGTTAGTAAAAATAATATTTGTTTTTACATGGCAACGTACATTTTTATACATGATATTATATTGTATAAAGAAAACTGTAGATAAAGAAATGGATTTTAAAAGAAAAAATACAGAAAACGAAAAATACCATGTTTCTGTAGAATGCTTTTTAAGATGTAATATTTAATTCATAATGCATAAAATCTATGTATTATATCTTTCCTATCATACAGCCCATGGACTGTTGTATTAAAAACTCTTAAAGCTGAATACAGTTTAGTGGATAAAACTGGTAAATTCGGCGAGGAAGGTCCGTTAAAATCATATCCTAAACAAATGCTTTGCTGAAATATAAATAGACTATATATGACTTTTTATGAGTATTTAGTGACCAGAATTCTCATGGCTAGCTATATTTATTTCTGGATTGATCATGTCTATATCTATAGGTATGGGGAGGCATCTCAAATTAATGTTTGACTTGCGTAAATCCGTTAAGCAATATTAGTCATCTTATTGGTATAGATCAATATTTTTGATTGCTATAAGTCGACTTTAAACATATAAACCCACGTTGGACCAACGTATACTTTATAAAATTTTGTAAATATCCATAACAATGTGAATTTGTTTCACACAATTATTGTTTGTACAGTTTAAAAAGAGGATGCAATGGCCATGACAGGAGATAATGTTTCTTGCGTTTACTTCGAAATGGTCAAGCAAATCTCACTACTCTAATAATGGTAATTTAACTAAAAGTTCATATGTTCAAATCTTTGGCCAAGGGGAAAATATTTCGACAATTTAATGAAAATGATACAAATAATAAAGTGGGAAAGAAACAGAACAAAACTCATAAAAAGAGTGAAGCTAGGTTTCTCACTTAGTAATTACTTGTGACAAAAGTAATTGCTTTAGCTTACTTTCCATTCTCCTACACAGAAAAAGAGCGTATTGCTTGATACAATATCTGATAATTTATCGTCAACAACCCAGTTTAAGAAGAGAAAAAAAAAGGAAAAAAAAAGCATAAACAAAGCGATAAAAAAAATGCTTGGGAAACACATCTACGCCATTTTTGAAGCCCCATCTCCCAGTTGTTTTTGTTTTATGAAAGCTTTCTCTCGTTCCTTTATATAAAAGCTCAATTTAACCCAAATCACAAAGGCGTTTCGTTCTTCGTTTAGTGTTTGTAAATTCACCTATAGTCCGGATCTGGACGCCATGATTCAAGGTGTTAGAGTGTTAGAGTGCAGCATCGGAGATTGGATTTCAAATTTTCCAAGAAAGCCCCCCCCCCCCTCCGCTTTCAGAATACCCAGATTCGTTTGATAAGACAGGACCTAATACAGTATCTTCAGTAACATTGATCGTCCTTACACTATTTGACATCATTTGTACTGCAGATTATCAAAGAAAGGCGAGTCTACCCATATCCACGCTTTAAATATCTAATAGTTGTCATAATTTATCCGTATTAATAAAAATGCAGTCTGTGCATTTTTTTTGTTACTTGCCAACTAAGCAACATGCTGAAACAAATCGGCCTTCTGTTATTTGAGACAAAGCTTTCCTTTGTTTCTGTGGTTGATTTCCGTTTTAATCTCTCAAATTTCAGTAAGTGTGTTAAGATCACGAATTCTGATTGTGTGTTTTTACAACAGTATTAACGGATATTAACATATTGCTTGTTTCAGATAATATATCAAAAACCATTGGTCCCAATTCTACTCATGAACACTATCAAAATTTGAACCACACCTTAAACAGTTGACTATTGAAGCCACCGCCCCAGACACATTTTAATGAATAAAACCGACTAAGTCTTTGTGAAAGTCGCCCAGAAACTTTTATATCAGTACTGTGTATCTATTTAAACATCTGTGATACTTTTTCGGGCAAATACAAATGATCAGTTTCTAAATTCCAAATTATCTGGAAAACAATGCTGACATAATTGTCAAGGCTACAGTGGTGACTGGTAAGGGATATTCGTCATGATCCAAGTCACATCGTAAAAAAAAAATCACGTAACAGGAACTTTCCGATACTGTGATTGGACTATTTCGTCACATGTTGGCATTTGATTTGATACCCGGTGAAGTGGTAAATGCTCCTTTAAAGCGATATAAACAAATACAAAGCTGCGATCAGAGTATTATATATTAACTGGACACAAACGTATATGCATTAGCGAAGCCAAAAACCGAAACCTGACCAAACCATACAGCAGAATTTTCAGATTTCTTGCGCATTTTTTTCCACATAAAAACAAAAACAGATTTTCAACCTGAGATTGATCGTTTAATACGTACCTTGAACTGCGTAACGCTTACGTCTAGCACCATTACCAATACCAACATTGTCAGGAACACCACATCGCCGTAACGTCATCAGCTGTTTAGTATCATTATCTAATACACCTAGAAATATAAGCCAAACATTTGTGTTACAGAGATATCCAAAATATGAATATAAAATACAGCCAATCAAAAACCTAAATTTGTTTCGATACCGTTAACCAAATCGATATTATCTAGGTACCAGCAACAGAGCGATGTCCAAAAGTACTGGTCCACAAGCGCATCTCATCTTGTTGTTATTCACTGGGGGCGACTCTCTTCCATAAAAGGCATAAGACTCCGCCCGCCAGTAAAGTACGAGCGACATGAACCTTGAATGCTAGTTCCTTGGAGAATTGCGCATTTATTGCCGAATTGAGCTTTTTCATTCCAAGATGGTGGTGATGACGTTCTGTCGCACTTATTGTTTGTAAATCCAACATTATGTCATTTTGTTTGGAGGGAATTTTGGGGAGGAGTGTAAAGGAGAGCGGGGGTCGATATGGTTATTAGTTGTAAGAGGTTATACCCACAGTTAATTAGACTACTAAAATGATATGGTGGAAAGTCCAGGGCCCAGGGAATATACAGATCATTTGAATTTGAATTTACATAAACTTAATCTTACAAAAAACATTAAAATATTATGAAACGCCATTCAGCTCCTGGCAAGTTAATTATGACTCTTGACATTATATGCAAGTGTGTGCCATACGTCTACGTCTTTTACACACGTGGCATCGGATAGGTTAGTATTAACAAATGGTGAGATATTGGATATTAATTGTGACCACGGCAATACGTGATGTAGGCTCTATATTAAAGGTACTCCGAGTCAGGTTGTCTATAAATATTTTTAAAATATGTATTTTACCTAATAAACGGCAGTTATTATAATTTAATCGATATGATTGAATTTGATGTCTTGATTTATATAAATTTAAAAACTTAGATCCAGAGGTAGAGCCAGTGTAATATTACTGATTCTGTTTTCAGTAGTCGACAGTTGAAGCCAAAACAGAAACTAAAACTAGTAAACTAATACAACATCAGATGAACCCAATTCAACTCTTGACATAAATGAAAAAGGTTTGGATTCCCTTTAAGGTTTTAGTTCCCGTTATAAAGACCTGTTATTATATTTTGTATATTAGCTATTTTACATTATATGAAAAAGGGTATAAAACCTGAAACGTTATATCATTAAAAATTCTCTACTCTAAACCAAATCTGTTGTGCTGGTGTTGCGCGGGGATTCCTAAATATATTTGGCATAATACTATACGCTTTTATCAAGGTAAGTAATATGTTGATATGATATGTACATGTATATAAAAATATATATATTGACACATGTTTTATTTGTTTTTTTTGAAACCCGATTATCAGGTCAATGGGTTTGACACTTGCCAATTTTGAATCATAAAGTACATATTAAAGGTTTGTAGTATAATGTGGATATTAGCTTGCCTAGATACATGCAATGACACCCTATATTCATATAGATGCATTTTTATTTAGGCACAACAACTGATTGTATATATATATATATATATATATATATATATATATATATATCTTAATAGTCAGCAATATGTACCATGTATTTAAGTACATCAAAGAATATGTAGGGGGAGTGGATGGCTGAATGGTTAGCACGTGCGCGCAGTAGCATGAGGCCTGTCATTGAGTCAACTGGCGTGGTTTCGAATCCCCGGTTGTACGTGACAAGGAGTAGGGTTGCCTGTCCAACCTCGTGGGTTTTCTCCGGGTCCTTCGGTTTCCTCCCACTGCTAAAGACCCCTACGCGCAAGCGAATTATTGAAATAGAATTAAACCATATCTTAGTCCCGAAATGTCTGTGTCGAGTGGACGTTAAGCCCCATCTCTCTCTCTCTCTCTCTCTCTCTCTCTCTCTCTCTCTCTCCTCCTCCTCCTCTCTCATATATATAAGATGGCACTGTGAAATGAACAGTAACAAATGTAATCTTTCAATGGCCATAACGTAAATTAGTATTGATCTATCTGAATATTTGTTCAACCAGAATGACTTTATATTAAAATTACATGTCACTGTCTATGGCCTTCGTTATCCCGGATGGTGAAGAAAAGTAGAACGTTAAACACCATTTAAATTCATTTCTGTGTATGGCCTCTCTTAGCCCTCTATTTATTATACTTTTCTGGTCTGATATAGGATTGAACGGTTTTGAGTATATCCAAACAGCAAAATGACTACAATTGGCAGTGGCCACTAAGACTGAATAACCCCGACGGACTGTTCACCTCTTCACCATGCAGTTCATCGGGGTTTCCCGACGTGCTTTCTCCCTGTCAGTGGTGCAGGACGGAGTCGTTCGGATGGGACGAAAAACCGAGGTCTCGTGTATACATTGGCGTGCACGTAAAAGATTCCTTGACAGTCGGAATTCGATATAAGAGTAAGTCATAGTGCCGCTGCCCGGGCAAAATTTCCCTCATTGTACACGGTATGGCGTATGCCCATCTCCATTAGCCCAGTCGGAGTTAAACCCCATTTAATTTAATGTCATTTCTTTCACATGCTAGAGCTTACACACTTTCTATTCATACGCCAAATACGGGTTCATCTATTATACATCTATTGAATTTAACAAATTAGACTTCTATTTACAGCCATATCAGTCATCTACGCCATTTATAGTAGCAGGACTGGACTACGTTTCCAAATGTTGAGAACATGTCTGCTTATCTTGACATATTCGATAGAAACTTCATTAAGGGAAAATTCGTGACGTTCTACGCTTTGTTAATTATAACACGTGTATTGAGTTCCGTGTTAGTCAAATTAAACTTTTGAGTATAATAGTCTGGATGTCGAGTCAGTATGGATGATCAGTTACACCATGAAATAAATAATTCATTTGATGATCATGGTTTTAATCAATGGTCCACCTCAGCACATACTCTCTACATAATGTTATCACCAACTTCACGTGGCATCGTTTTATAGTAAACCAATAATATACATGTCATTTGTGTTAGCAAAATGAAATCCTTGTACACCCTGCCCCGTTCACGACACTCGCGACATTTAATTAAAGGTTCGTTTTCACAATGTACTCTTTACATCTACGCCATCACCTACTCTACTAGGTATAGTATAATACTCCAATAAATAAATATGTGCTAAAGAAAATCCTTGCATATACTGCATCGTTCACGACAATCGCTCCATTTGAATTAAAATCAGATTGCAATCTCATTTGGTTAAATTTTGTTCTAACTTTTACAATACATTATTATATCAGACAATCGTATTCCCATACAACCCGTTAACCAATCCGAATGCTTCACATATATACGTTTTCTCATAATTCACCACAATGTGCAGTCCCGTAGACCAATACAAACAATGTGATTTGAGAGAGAATAAAACCTTAGTATACGAATGGTAAACCGAGCAGAAAAACTCATTATAAAACTAGAGCTGAAAAAAGGAGAAAAAATCAATTAAGGAAGTAAAAAACAACATAGGAGACGGGGTTAATAAGTCTCAGACGATATTGTGTCAGATATCAACTGCAATCCTTTCTTTATCGAATCTTAATATTTTTTCCAAAGATATAAAACTCCATAATATAGGGGTATATTGGGACTTTGGCCACTGAGGACGACATACTTTACATTATATTCTGCTGCGTAAATAACATAAATGAGCGCTCACCACTTTTTCAAGTGTTTAAGTATTTAATTAAATATGGCATATAACGTGAATAGAGTTTATTTTCAAGTCAGGTAATCGTAATTATCGTAAATACGACATGATTCCTACGCAACAGAACAAGAAGATTGATAATAATCTGATCATAGCGTGATCAGAAGCTGCCCATCCAAGCACTCGTTCTTAATATACATGTACAACTGGACAGTGGCTCACATGTTTGTGATCTTGACGTCTGGCACACAGTCCACGTCATTATGGTTGTTAATGGGCATAAAACTGCTCATCAAAACATCCAAATGGCCCATTGTCTCGCAAACACCATCTCCCGCCGGTGACTTTAAGCGGAAGTGAGTTCCATAAAAGTTATTTGACGTCTTGTTATGTAGTCAAGACATCGATAAAATAGTCCCCGATAGCCATACTAATTATCGATCGATACTTCGATACGGTACCATAAAATTAAAACCCAGACAAAAATTAGTAATAGGTGAAATTTTTAAGAGTTTTAAATAAAATAACCGCTCGCACACTTTTTGACATTCAGATGTCTTGGTATTTTCCCTTAAATAATTGTTTGTGTGTCTAGCAAGGAACAGAGATCCAACGTTTTACATGTACTGACTTCCACATAAAGAACTCTTTGCAGTTGCAATTCGAAATAAGATTAGGCCGTAGCGCCTCTGTCCTGTCACAAATAGCACACTGCGTGGCGTATGTCCGCCTTCGTTGTCCCGGTTGGTGCAGAACAGAAGGACGTTAAACCTCATTTCATTTCTATTCAATACTTTCAATTCTGTGCTTTAATTTAATTTAAAAGTTTCTAGTCTTATAAAGCACATGTCGGTTTTATACGCCCAATGAAACAAGGAATCTGGTTTGTAGAAATGTATAAATATCTGACAGAAGGGAAAGGCTCGCTGCTGTTGATAGTGATAACATATTTACTATAAATTACTATCATATCTGTAGATAATTACCTATAGATTATATACACGTGTTACTTATATATTACTTACTATATAATAAACATATAAATTACCATACTTATATTTAAAGTGTTAAAACACATAGTTAAAACTTATTATATAGATACTATATTACAATAACCTGTGATGTTCAAAAGCAAATGACTAATTTTCGTAGCTACCTTTTGATTACAATGATTTTTAAAGGCTTATTAACGGGAAATCAGAGAGAATTGTTATGTACAAGATCAGGCCAAATTTTGGATGTAATTATTAGTGGATATATCTCATAACTTCCCATTTACAGGAATGTGAGAGTGACACATTAGAGTTTCACACGACGATGGTATGATTACTAGATCAACAATATAACTAAAACATTGTGTTGATGTTGGAGCCCTAGAAACTCG